GAGACCATATCTTCATTTTTGTCAACAACTACTAAGAGTCAACCCAACGGGTGATGTGCCAGAAATCTATTTAAAAACTGTCCATCTCACCTCATTACATCACCAGCGAAACCACACACAATGTCTTCAAAACTGCATCTGCATTAACTCCTAAAATCAAAAGTGTCCACGCAGCAAAGACTAGGCCAAGAAACTGGGAAAGTCAAACCCATGAAGTTTGGCTCCCCCTAAACGATTTTTACCTTAACTTATCCCCATGAACTTGACATGCAACCCAGACAAACTGGCAGCTTTTCCATCCTATTAGGTTTTAATTATGAAACTGGCTTCAAACCATGTATTCGGAAAGGAGTCCCTCCACCAATGAGGCTGCTCCTACAGTCCCTGATCTGCTGAATAAATACCAATTGCCAGAAATCTCAGGAGTCATCCTTTTTTCTCAGCTGTGCTGCCAAAGTACAGGTTAAGCGCCTTGCTCAATTCAGCTACTTTGCTTGCTATTCGCTCTGTCACTCAACCTCCTGGCGTGAATCGGACCCAGTTGCTCTGGCACTAGAATTACTGTTTGTGGGGACCAAAATTAGGTTCTCTAGAATCTGGTTTGACTTGATAGCTATCCACGGAGACTTGGAAATCGTTCCATTAGCAATTTTCACCACAGAATATTTACTGTAACTGGATCTGACCTCTATGGAGAGATGTTTCTAGAGGCCTGATAGTCATAAGCCATAAAAATGTTAACAAAAAAGGCCGGGCGCGGTGGCTCAAGCCTGTAATCCCAGCACTTTGGGAGGCCGAGGCGGGCGGATAACAAGGTCAGGAGATCGAGACCACAGTGAAACCCCGTCTCTACTAAAAATACAAAAAATTAGCCGGGCGCGGTGGTGGGCGCCTGTAGTCCCAGCTACTCAGGAGGCTGAGGCAGGAGAATGGCGGGAACCCGGGAGGCGGAGCTTGCAGTGAGCCGAGATCGCGCCACTGCACTCCAGCCTGGGCGACAGCGTGAGACTCCGTCTCAAAAAAAAAAAAAAAAAAAAAAAAAGTAACAAAAGGAAGTGGATCCTCAGACAGCCATTTCTCTCCCATCATGGAAGAAGGTAAAAGATCTAAGAGCAAGAAGCAGAGGTGGAAGCACCGTTAAATAAAATACTAAGCAAGTCCAACATGCAATAGCTCTACATTCAACTATATAGAAACACAAGAGTCAAAACCGTTCATCTTAAATTTGCCAGGCAGTTGAACAGCCAGGTCCACAGGTACAAAACAATTTTCCCTTGGGATCAGCCTTCCTGGCTGTGGAAAAACCACAGTAGTGGCTAAAATAGCTGGCTCTACTTAGAGAAAACTATGGCTTAAAAAGAAATCAAAAATTTAAACCTTCAGAGCACAACAAAATTGTACCAGGGGGAGAGGACAGGCTGTGAATTACTCCTTTTGGGGAATCACATTTTTTTTTTCTTTTAAAGAGCAAATTTGAGAAGAATTAAAAAAATAAAGGGGCTTTATGACCAGAACATCCATATTTCCATGGTCAAAATCGACTTTTCTCTACTAGGAGACTTTGATTTGCTTTTAAGTTAAATCTCTCACCCAGAGAAAATAAAAATGTAAAAGGTTATAAGTGTATAATAAGATTGGTTGTTAAATCAGGGATTCTGAGTGACACCCTTTTCTTTTTTTTTTTGCAACATCCATTAATTTGATTTTTAACTAATACTGGTACATCAGTTTGGGGGGAAAAAAAGGCAGTACTGTGACATTTCAAAAACAAAGATTAACCAAATAGTTTTTGACTTAATTACTGGGGCTTCTCGGGATGAGATTCCTTTGAGAACAGAAAACAATAAACCCTTGTGTTGATATGCCTGTGAGTTTTTTAAATGCTTGGGGAAATAGTTTCAAATTCACTGAATGATTGCTAAAAATTTCACTTACAAAAAAAATCTCATTTCCTTAACGTTTCTTTTTAAAAGTCAATTTAAATAAGCAACTTAGTAGCCTTTGGAACTTGGGTCATCAGTCATCCAATTTCTGTTCTCAGCTCCTGGAGAAGGAATTTTATAAAGGATGGGAAACTTCAAATAAATGCAATTCATTTCGGGCTGACCCAGTGCCCTGGATAATGTGTTTGTTCGGTTTGTGCTTCAGACATTTTTTGCAGGATACTGTAGAGTTTGGAGATTTCTTCCTCCCATAACTGATTTTACATACTAAGGATCACCACTCCATGGCAGTTGTGAACATATTAAGAGGAAGAAAACAAGTGGCCTACTGAATTGCAGTTTCCTCATCTACATGTGCGTGACCTTTTTTCCTTTTAAGAAGGAAAAAAAGGAAACGGCTCTTTTGGAGAGGGCCAGGGTTCTCTCTCAAAGTATGTCAGGGATCAAAAGTGGGAAAGAGGGAAAATGCAACTTCAACGTGTTTTGTCTTTTAACGGAACTTATGCTTGTAAAACACATCAGAAGTACGGTGTTTGGTTCTGCAAGTCATTTCTGTTTCTGTTTTTTCCTTGTTACGTGTAGGCCGGGGGGACTGGGGGCTGGAGGAGGTGTTCCCTCCAACATGACTGGGCGTGTAACACGTTTGCATCAACTTTTCACAGTCAGACATGTGCTTTCGAACAAAGGAGCAGTGGAGACGGGCAGAGATGGGGGCTTGACACAGTTTACAGATTTTGTGCTTCAACAGTACTTTACAAATGACTTGCTCAATTTTAACGTCCATCACCACAAGAGACATTGGAGTAAAATGAGAAAATTGGAGCTACTTGAACCAATCTTTTCTGGGGGGCAGGGAGGGAGGGAAACCATTAACTTGAATACATGTATCATAAATCAAATTCAGTAAGCTTGTCTCCTACAAATGGACTTGAAGTATCCACTCTTTTCAGAGATGAAGGCTGGAGACAAAGCAATGGATTGAAATGGAAAGAGGGATGCCAAGAGTCCGAAAACATACGGGCCTTTTATATCGATTTTTGTCATGTTACAGTAACACACTTTTTTTTTTTTTTTTTGGAGAAAACTGTGTACGTAAAATTTTAAAAATTAAACATTGAAAGGATGTGCAAGTCTAAAAGGGCTCAACAGGGTTAGAATCCTGATTCGAACATATCAACTCACTCAAGCATCACTTTGGTCTAAAGGCGAGGAGGAAGGCAGGCAGGAAAGGGAGAAAAAGAGGGAGATCATTGAATTACTCAATAAAAGAGGCTACTTACCATCCCAACCCATTGTAAGACATACACTTCTGACATAAGAGAACTCCTTAGAGGTCGAATAAAGCGTGTAAGCACCTTTGAGTAATGCACCTGCCCCCGGAGAGGGGGCCCGGAAGCCCAACAAGGGCTTTGCGAACAGACCTTTGCTAATCTGTTTATTTCCTTGGAGTCGGGCTGCGATGGGCTGCGATTCCCAGGACGATACATTTAATTAGAACAAAACAGAAAAAAACAAATGTTGTAAAAAGCTCACCAAACTGCTGCACTTGTGTCTCTGAATGTGGGTGGCATTTCTTTTAAAAGGCAAAGTATGGTCTGTGAAGGAGAAAGGGGAAAGGGGAGGTGGGAGTAGGGAGAAGGGGCCGTAGACCCTAGCAGGGGAAGCCCTGGCTGAGACCCCCGGCCAAGGGAGGGTCCTCAGCGGCTCCCCAGCCAGGGCTGCGGCGGGGTAGCCATCTGTCCAGCGCGTTCTTTTCCCCTCTCCACCCCCACTCCAAGACTCGCTTTCCTGCCGGCTGAAACCCACCGTCCGTGTCCAAATCTACTCTCCAGCCGCCTCTTCTGCCCCACCAGGAAACAGTGGGCGAACCCTGCACCCCAACTCCTTCTGCTCGAGCAGGGGAAGGAAACGGGGCCCCAACCTCGCCCTGAAACGCGCCGGGCTGACCCCATTATCACCCGCCAGCCAGAGAAGGGCGTGGGGGGGGGGGCGCCGCGTTTCGCACTTAATAAAGGGAAGGGGGCGCTTCCTTTAACGCCCTGCCAAAGCACAAGGAAATCTCCTTTTCTCTCTCCCGGAAGAGACGGTGCCCCATTTTACCCCGACAGAGGGGGGAACCCCACGAGAAAGCGCGGGACCAACTTCCTCTCCCTACAAGGCAGGGAAACCAAACCTTACCCCCACAAAACAAGGCTGCTAGTCTTCCCTCACGTCACCTACCTACGAAAAGCGAGAGAACCCCTGCCCTTTAACAAAAACACGGGTAAGAATCTTCTCTAAATAAATAGGCAGGGGTTTTCATCAAAAGGGCTGGAGATGCATCTCCCCCACTCCCCAATTCGGCCTTCTAGGGAATAGCTACAAAACACCTCCCGCCAAAAAATAAAAGTGCTATAAAGCACCCACCCAAATGACCCCCCATTACAAGGATGGAGAAGGGACTGCAATGAACCCCCACTTTCTGCCTCCTAAGCTAAGGTACCTATCATCCAAGTAGGGTAGGGTGTGCCTCCCCCAGGAGAAAGGATACTGCCGGGGGCTGGGAGACCCCCAACCCCAAACCCCTAAGAGCGGGGCTGTTGCTCGAGATCCCCCCAAAAAGGGTCCGGAGCCCCTCCCCCATCCCCTTCCCCGAAGCCAGGCGACGAGCAGGCGGGCCCGTGGCTGCCAGCTCCGGGCGTAGGGGCAGCCAAGGACCCCCGTGGGCCTCCGCAGCACCCCCCCCGGCGCCCCCTCCCCAGGGCGGGCGGGCGGGCGCGGGGGGTCCGAGGGGCGCCTCCTCACCTTCCCCTCAGCATGGCGCCCAAAAAAGACAGAGCGAGAGCGAGGGAGAGCGGGCGAACGCCGCGAGGGGGGGGAAACGCATGAGGCCAGGAGAGAAAGCAAGCGAGAAAGAGCGAGCGAGCAAGCGATCGAGAGACACCCACCGACCCCGCCCTTCCTCCTCCTCCTCCTCCTCCTCCTCCGCGGCCCGGCCCAACATGGCGGCCGCCCCCCTTCCTCCTCCTCCTCTTCCTCCCCCCGGGGACGCAGCCCCGGCCCGGCCGGGGGCCTGACCTGTCGTCAGGGAGCGGGAGGCGGTGGTGGAGGAGGTGCGGGGTGGCCGGGCGGGCGTCGGGGGAACACGGAGGAGGCGAAGGCGTTGATGGCGGCGGCGGCGATGGCGACGGCGGCGACTCTGATGGCGGCGGCGGGGGGGTCCCGGGCGCGGCCTCCATAGTTCCTTTGGGGGGGAGGGGATGTTAATGCACGAAAAAGGACTGCTTGGGCGTGGCGGGAGGGGCACACTTAAGCTCGGAGGGCTCCTGATGGGAATGGGGTATATATTTTTTCGGTTTCGGAATCACCTCTGCGCTGACCTCCGCGTAGGCCGCGCGGCCTAGGCCTCGGAGGGCCGCTCGCCGCCTGCTTTCTCCGCAGCCCACCCCTGCGGTCACTCGCTTACTGGCGCGGGGCCCTCATAGGGGCGAGAGCCCCCCCCCCACGCACCCCCGCGGGCCCGGGGGCGGGAGACCCGGGAGACTCGGACACTGGTGGGTGGTTGGGTGTAATTAGCGCGGGCCGCGCGCGATGGAGCAAGCGAAGGGTAAGGGGAGAAGAGGAGAGCCAGCGAAGGGGGTGGAAGGGTTAAAAAGAAAAAAAGGATTGAAGGGAGAGAGGGAACGGGCCGCGGAGACGGGCCGACTGTCTCCCTTGTCTGCCCGCCACTGGTCTCCCGGCTGCCCGGCCCCCGCCGCAATCAGGAATTGACACAAAATGGCGGCTCGGCCCGGACCAGCCTAGAGGCTGAGGCGGGAGGAAGGGTGAGGTGGGAGGGGGAACTGAGAGGCGGAGGCGGAGGCCGCGTCACGTGCGGGAGAGGGGTAGAGACCGCTTGCCTGAGGGCCGGCGGAAAGAACCGAAGGCAAAGGGTGAGTCCGAGGGGAGGCGGAAATAGCCGAAAAGAGCTGAGCAGGAGACAGGAGGCGACGGGGGAGAGCCGAAAAGAGCCGAAGCTGGTGATGGGGTGGGGCTAGAGAGAGCATGAGAAACCTAGGGGAGCCAGAAATAGCCTAAGCGGATTGGGACCGGGGAAGGAGGAGAAATTGAGATGGTCCGGAAAGAGCCGAAGGCGGTGTCTGGGTGGGTGGCAGGAGGTGGAAACAGCCGAAAGAAAAGCAGCCAGGGTAATGCGATTAAGAGAATGAGCTGAACGGGCGGGGCTGGAGCGGCGATTAATTAAGAGAATAAACGACTTTCAGGAATTCGCCCGAGAGCAAGAGGGAAGAACCGAAAATTGCTAGTTTGAAGGAAGGCGGGAAGAGCCGATAGTTTTAGGTGGGAGGATGGGAGGGAAGGAATTCAAGCTACGGAGAGAAAAAAAAAAAATAACCGAAAGCTGGAGGCCAGGTGCCGAGAGTCGGAGGTTTCCGGAGAAGCGATGAAGCCCAGCCAGCCCGGAGGTGACGTCACTCGACAACTCAGTCGATGACGTCATCCTTGCAGGAGAGAGGGGCGGGGCTTGGTAGTCCATCAGGGGAGTTTAAGGACCTGGGGTGTAGGAGGACCCAGAGAAGGCTCACAAATAGCGGAGATAGAAACACTGGCCGGTGTCATAGGCTGTGTATAAACAAAATCTTTTGACTCTCATAACCGTCCTAAAATAAGCTGCTGCAATTCCCATTTGCAGACTGAAGTTAGGTGTTTTAAGTAATTGGTTCAACGTCATAGGATTAGTGCTAAAGAGCACAGCAAGACTTTTTTGTTGTTGTTGTTGTTTTTAAGACACAGTCTCGCTTTGTCGCCCAGACTGGAGTGTAGTGGCGCGATCTCGGCTCACTGCAAGCTCCGCCTCTGGGTTCACGCCATTCTCCTGCCTCAGCCTCCCGAGAAGTTGGGACTACAGGCGCCCGCCACCACGCTCGGCTAATTTTGTGTGTGTGTGTGTGTGTGTGTTTTAGTAGAGACGGGGTTTCACCGTGTTAGCCAGGGTGGTTCTCGATTTCTTGACCTCATGACCTTCCCTCCTCGGCCTCCCAAAGTGCTGGGATTACAGGCGAAAGCCACCGCACCCGGCCTTTTTTTTTTTTTAAGAGACAGAGTCTTGCTCTGTCGCCCAGACTGCAGTGCTGTGACACGATCATACGTCCCTCTAACCTCGAATCCAGGGATCTTCCTTAAATACTTTTGTTAGCTCTTTCTACAGTGCCAGTCCCTGTGATGGACTATGGGAACAGTTTCTGTCTTCATGGAACTTAACCGACAATGCCCCGAGAGAGAAACAGAGTTAAAGAATAAAGGGGGTGGGTGGAGTGTTAGAGGAGAGTCTTGAAATTGCTCTTTAGGCTGGTATATGAAAAAGAAGAGCTGGTTCCAAGCAGAAGAAATACCTTATTTCAGGCGGGGCGATGTTGCTCACGCCTGTACTCCTAGCATTTTGGGAGGCCGAGGCGGGCGGATCGCTCGCTTGAGCTCGGGAGTTGGAGACTAGCCTGACCAACATAGTAAAATCCCTTCTCTCCTAAAAATACAAAAATTAGCAGTACATGATGGCTCACACCTGTAGTCCCAGCTACTTGGGATGTTGAAAAGGGAGAATCGCCTGAGCTGGGGAGGTCGTGAGGCTGCAGTGAGCTGAGATTATACCACTGCACTCCAGCCCGGACGACAGAGTGAGACTCTCGTTTCAAAAAACAAAAAAAAGAAAAGAATACCTTATTTCAGGCCCTGACAAAGCAAAGACCACTTAGATTCCAGGAAGAGAGAAAAACCTCGTCAAGATTGATAAAGCTGGAGACAGAGGCACCATGTGACTTCCTGGTATATTGATCCTACTATTTTTTAAATGTTCCAGCTGGCAGCAGGGCGTGGTGGCACATACCCATAATCCCAACACTTTGGGAGGCCGAGGCTGGCAGATCACTTGAGGTCAGGAGTTTGAGACAGCCTGGCCAATGGGACGAAACCCATACAAAAAATTAGCCAGGCATGGTGTGGCGCGCCTGTAATCCCAGCTACTCGGGAGACTGAGGCAGGAGAATTGCTTGAACCTAGGGGGTAAAGGCTGCAGTGAGCCAAGATGGCACCACTGCACTCCAACCTGGGTGACAGAGCGACACTCCATATCAATAAAAAAATAAATAAATAGAGCCAGGCATGGTGGCTCACGCCTGTAATCCCAGCACTTTGGGAGGCCAAGGTGGGTGCATCACCTGGGGTTGGGAGTTCAAGACCAGCCTGACCAAACCCCGTTTCTACTAAAAAATACAAAATTAGCCCGGCGTGGTGGTGGACGCCTGTAATCCCAGCTAAATGGGAGGCTGAGGCAGGAGAATCGCTTGAACCTGGGAGGCAGAGGTTGCAGTGAGCAGAGATCTCACCATTGCACTCCAGCCTGGGCAACAAAGAGCGAAACTCCATCTCAAAAAAAATAATAGGCCGGGCACGGTGGCTTATCCTGTAATCCCAGCACTTTGAGGGACCGAGGCGGGCAGATCACAAAGTCAGGAGATCAAGACCATTCTGGCTAACACGGTGAAACTCCGTCTCTACTTAAAATACAAAAAATTAGCCAGGCGTGGTGGCGGGTGCCTGTAGTCCCAGCTACTCAGGAGGCTGAGGCAGGAGAATGGTGTGAACCCAGGAGGCGGAGCTTGCAGTGAGCTGAGCTGGCACCACTGCACTCCAGCCTGGGCGACAGAGCAAGACTCCGTCTCAATAATAATAATAATAATATTAATAAAGTAGGCTCACAACCGTAATCTCAGTACTTTGGGAGGCAGAGGCGGGTGGATCATGAGGTCAGGAGATCAAGACCTTCCTGGCTAACACGGTGAAACCCTGTCTCTACTAAAAATACAAAAAATTAGCCGAGTGTGGTGGCAGTTACCTGCAGTCGCAGCTACTCAGGAGGCTGAGGCAGAAGAATCGCTTGAACCCAGGAAACAGACATTGCAGTGAGCCAAGATCGTGGTGCCACTACACTAGAGACTGGGTGACAGAGTGAGACTCCGTCTCAAAAAAAAGAAAAGAAAAGAAAAGAAAATTCCTGATAAAATGCTTAAAATAAATTATCAGTGGATGAAACTTGTTTTGAGAAGCTGGTGCTCCCCCTACCATCCCACCTGGTACCCCAGTTGATAGTCAGCTGACTGCCAGCCAAGAACTGTGTTACCTTTATCTTTCTGGATCCAGTCTCAGATCTAATGGTTAGATAATGATTCTCTTCTCCTATAAAATGTCCCTATTAGAGTGAATCTTAATTGGCCTACAAGGGACCTTTTTTCCTTGCATGTAAGATTGTAATAAAGTGTTCACTCATGCTCATAGGTATGTTGTCCAAAAAAGTTTTCTTTAATACACCAAGAACTAATACTGCAGGTTTGTAGGAATGGAAAGGAAGGACACCAAAGTAGCTCACTGTGCGATTATGGATGGTGCCATTCCTTCCTTTACACCTTGATATTTGGACTTCATGTATTGTGTTATGGACAAAAACCACTGATAGAGAACATAGACCACATCTAAGAGGACCGCTATTGTCTTTTCAAGGTACGGTCCTGAAGGGCCCCCATCTCTGAAGTTTCAACAGGGCCATTCTACCATTCTAGATGGTCATCTGCTTTTAAGTAATGGGGAAAACGAAAATCCCACCAAGCAGGAATTCCCTGTACTTCTTCAGTTTTATACTGGAACATTGTGGAACATTGTCTACCAAGCCCTTCTGACACTTCATCTGATTTTTTATTTTTATTTTTATTTATTTTTTTGAGACAGAGTCTCATACTGTCACCCGGGCTGGAGTGCAGTGGTACAATCTCGGCTCACTGCAACCTCTGCCTCCCGGGTTCAAGTGATTCTCCTGCCTCAGCCTCCCGAGTAGCTGGGATTACAGGCGTGTGCCACCATGCCCAACTAATTTTTTATGTTTTTAGTATAGACAGGGTTTCACCATGTTGGCCAGGCTGGTCTAACACTCATGACCTCATGATTCGCTTGCCTCGGCCTCCCAAAGTGCTGGGATTACAGGTGTGAGCCACCATGCCCTGCCTATTTATTTAGTTTTTGAGATAGAGTCTCACTTGTCTCCCAGGCTGGAGTGCAGTGGCGCAATCTCGGCTCACTGTAACCTCTGCCTTCCAGGTTCAAGCGATTCTGCTGCCTCAGCCTCCCGAGTAGCTGGGACCACAGGCACGCACAACACCTGGCTAATTTTTTTTTTTTTTTTTGAGACTGAGTTTTGCTGTTGTTTTCCAGGCTGGGAGTGCAATGGCTCAATCTCAGCTCACTGCAACCTCCGCCTCCCCCGCCCAGGTTCAAGTGATTCTCCTGCCTCAGCCTCCCCAGTAACTGGGATTACAGGTGCCCGCCACCAAACCCAGCTAATTTTTTTTTAAATTATTTTTAGTACAGATGAGGTTTCACCATGTTGGCCAGGCTAATTTTGAACTCCTGACCTCAGGTGATCCAACCACCTCGGCCTCCCAAAGTGCCAGGATTACAGGTATGAGCCACCATGCCTGGCCTATTTATTTATTTATTTATTTTGAGACGGAGTCTTGCTGTGTCTCCCAGGCTGGAGTGCAGTGGTGCAATCTCGGCTCACTGCCACCTCTGCCTCCCTGGTTCCAGCGATTCTCCTGCTTCAGCCTCCCATGACTTTTTTTTTTGTTTTTTAATTTTATTTATTTATTTTTAAGACAGAGCCTCGCTCTGTCATCCAGGCTGGAGTGCAGTGGTGCAATCGTGGCTCACTACAGCCTCAACCTCCCTGGCTCAAGTGATCCTCCTACCTCAGTCCCCTGAGTAGCTGAGACTACATATGTGGGCAACCAGATCCAGCTAATTTGTGTGTGTGTGTGTTGTCTGTTTTTTTGTTTTTTAAACAGGGTCTCACCATGTTGCCCAGGCTGGTCTTGAACTACTCCTGAGCTCAAGTGATCCTCCCACTTGACCCTCACAAAGTCTTAGGATTACCAGCGTGAGCCACTGTGCCTGGCCCATTGTTTTGACTTTAGCTACTTTCTTTTTTTTTTTTTTTCCTTTTGACACAGAGTCTTGCTCTTGTTGCCCAGGCTAAAATGCAATGGCACGGTCTTGGCTCACTGCAACTTCTGCCTCCCAGATTCAAGCGATTTTCCTGCCTCAGCCTCCTTGGTAGCTAGGATTACAGGCACTTGCCACCACATCCGGCTAATTTTTATACTTTTAGTAGAGACAGAGTTTCACCATGTTGGCCAGGCTGGTCTCGAACTCCTGACCTCAGGTGATCCGCCAACCTTAGCCTCCCAAAGTGCTGGGATTATAGGTATTAGCCACTGCGCCTGGCAACTTTCGCTACTTTCTGTCAATTTCCTGTTCCTTTCCCTCTCTCCTACTTTTTGGATGCTCTTGTAACTGTTTATTTTCTTTCTTTTTTTTTTTTTTTTTCCCAAGACT